AAAAAAAAAAAAAAATAAGGAAAATCACTTGGAAGTTTGTCCTGTTACAGCTGGGGAAGGGACTGGGAGAGGCCACGGAGAGGGAGAGACTCCAAATCCATTTACAGAAGAGAAATGAGGGGATTAAACTCCGTGAGACACCAAGAGTGACTCGACCCCGCAGCTTCCTTCCCCCAAGTGTCATCCCATCATTTAGGCACTAAAACACCCAGGAATCCCCTGCTCCTCCCTCCCGGTGCGGGGGAGCAGGGAGTGAGCCCGGTCCAGGGCAGGGAAAGGGCTTTTCCCCCTCCCCGGTGAAGGAATGGTTGGGAAAGGGGGAATAACACAAGGCTGCAGCCCAGCAAGGGGCCGGGGCCGAGCTCTTCGGGCAGAGCCGATCGATCCCAGGGGGCTGTGGGAGGGAAGGAGCCATCCCGGTGGGATGGGAGCCCTCCCGGTGGGATCCCCGCCTGTCCCGGGGACCACAGTGGATTAAGGCAGCAGGTGAGAGGCAGGAAGGGCACCGACGGTGAGCGTGAGCTGGACAAACGGCCGCCCCGGCGCCGCGGCCCCGCTCCGGGGGGAATCTGCTCCGGGGGGGAATCGGGGCCCAGGAGGGCGCTCCGGGGTCCCGGCGGGAGGTGGCAGCTCTGGGTCGGGGGCGCTCAGTCGGTCTTGCGGTGGTTGTTGTTGAGGACGGGGTGGCCGTTGGACAGGGGCCCGTTCTTCGCCGCCTCCTCCTCCTCCTCCGAGTTGTCCGTCTCCTCACGGTCACTCCTCTCATCCTCCACCACCTGTGGGGACAGGGAAGGGGCGGCTTCAGGCAGCAGCTCCCCCGGTTCTCCTGCCGTGCCTCAGCTCCCCCAGCACAACCACGGGGGGTTCTCCCCACCGAGGGCTCTCCGGGCATCCGAGCGCAGGCGGGATTCGGGATCTGGGGGTCTCCATCCACCCCGAGCGGGCCCTTCACCCCAGGGCAGCGTCCCCGAGCCCCCCCTCACCTTTCCAGTTATGAACTTCTGGGCCATGCGGATGATGAGGTAGGCCCAAAAGATGTGCAGCGACTGCAGCACCACCATCATGAAGTTGAAGAAGTAGTAGCCGAAGAAGGCGGGGTAGAGATCGAGCGGATAAACCACCGTGCAGTGCATGATCCTGTGGGAAAAGCCACTCCTGTTAGGGGCAGAAACCAGCCCCAGACCCCCCCGTGGGCCCCCACTTTGTGCCTCAGCTCCCCCCGTTCCCACTGGAGCTCACCAGAAGGGCAGGATGACCAGGCGGGTGATGATGAAGACGGCGGCGAAGACGATGAAGATGTTGTTGCAGGTGTTTCTCCACCCGGCGTAGTTGAACATCTTGGCAGACTGGGGGGGAGATGGGGCAGAGGGGGGTGAGTCTGGGGGGGACAGGGGATGTGGGAGGAGGCTGGGGGAGCTGGGGGGGCCGTACCTCCAGCAGGTAATCCGAGGAGTCGTGCAGGGCCATGATGAGCGTCCCGGCACGGATGTAGTTGGCGAACCAGGAGAAGCTGATGAGGATGATGGTGGCAACGTGGTGGATGATCTGCTCTTTGAAGTCCTGTGCCCAAAAGAAGGGGGAGTTGGGGGTCACAGCAGCCCAGGGATGGGGGAGTTGGGGGTCACAGGACCCCAGGGATGGGG